AGAGAGAGAGAGAGAGAGAGAGAGAGAGAGAGAGAGAGAGAGAGAGAGAGAGAGAGAGAGAGAGAGAGAGAGAGAGAGAGAGAGTTACAGACCTGGTCGATGCTGCTGGTTGATGGAGCTGATGAGCGCTGGTAACTCAAACTGTCGAGCTGTGTTATATGTTGCAGCACTGATAAGCGCTGGAACTCGAACTCTCGAGCTGTGTAATATGATGTTGCACTGACAGGCGCCAGGTGACACGAACTCTGGCTTTGTAATATATGATCATTCATTGGAGATTATAAGCTGTGCTACTTCTGCCTCACCTTCCATGGAATTCTTTGTGGATTTCGTGTGAAATATTGTGGTGCTTGTGAATGGGGAGACAATATAAGCGGTTCATTGAACTTTCTTTTTTTTTTGTTTTTTTTTAATGATCCTTAGTCGGGCGTGCCCTCGGCACAAACCTTGGGCGCCACGAGTGTTCAAGGAGTCAATGACTCACGGCTTTCTGCAATTCACATTGAGTCATCGTTGCGAGGGGCAAGATATTCGTTTGCCAAGAGTTTCGCTTGGCAAGCAAGCACTCACACAGCCCGCTGCAGAGGTTGCCTCTCAAGACAACAATTCAGGCAGCAGCAAAGCCCCCGGATTTTCAGTCTGGTCTATTTTCCCTGTTCGCTCACCGCTACCAAGGGAATCCTCGTTAGTTTCTCTTCCTCCGCTTACTTATATGCTTAAAATTTTGGGCGGGTGCTCCAGTCCAACCTGAGATGACAAATTTGGACAATTTGGTCCATTTCTCCATTTATTTGTGTTTCAAATATTGGCAGACAGAAACAGAACTCATTGGTGGTCTGGAAAAAAAATAAAAATAAAAAAAATCCATTTATCTTTAAGGCTTTGTGCTTGGCAGTGCTGTCGCTGTGACTTGACGACTTTCTTAGAATTGAGGTGAGTTTCTCTCAGCCTCTCTTGGGTCTGACGTTCGGGACTAATGCTATTGTCCGGACTATAGCACACCAGACAGGTGTCCCGAGATTGACGGAACGATTGGAGGTTCTTGGGAGTGTGGATGAACTTGGCCTGAGCCTACGACTTGTTTCATTCCTCTGCACTCTGAACCGAACTCTGAACTGAACTTTGAACTTGGCTATGCTACTCTATTTAAGACACCAGTACGTTTCCCGGCTATGGAAAAAAAAAAAAAAAGTGCCTCGGAAGTACTGGTGGTCTAAGCTGTGTAACGATGGTAATGTCCGGTGCGGTCCTAATTTGTCCGTTGAACGATAATCGTATGTGAGCCACGACATCTCACAGTAAAGTTGATTAAACCTAGGAAGATTTTCATGCCCGGCCGGGCACCTGGGCGTGACGCCCGGGGTACCCGGGAGTGGAAAAAAAAAAAAAAAAAAAAAAAGTATATATATTATATATATATCGTCTATATACAGGGTTGCCGGCGTTTGGGACGGGCCGAATGCCCGAACCTGAACGCCCGAACGTTTGTCACCCCCTCTCGACGCGTTCGGCCGTTCGGCCGAACGCGGACCCAAA